ACAAGGGGCAACCAATAATTCAAAGCCTGGATTTCTCAGCACAAGCCATGCAGGCCAAAAGACAACAGAATGCTATATATAAAACCCTGAAAGAGAAAAATTTCCAACCAAGAATTATTTACCTAGCAAAATTGTCCCTCAAATATGATGGTGAATTTAGGACATTTCCAGATAAGCAGAAATTAAGAGAATTTGTTAAAACCAGACCAATCCTACAAGAGATGCTAAAGGGCGTCCTTCAGACAAAGAGTCAACAATAACTGACCATCAACACTCATGATGACATAACCCAGAAACCAACCCAGTTATAGAAGTATCCAAAGTAGATAAGCCTACAAGATTGTAAACAGGGAACCAGAAACATCAACTGACAAATAAGGACAACTACAAACCAAAAAAAGGGAAAAAAGTGTGTAGTTACAGAACTTCTAAATGGTTGTTGTTGTTGTTATGTGCCGTTCAGTCGGCCCTGACTCATCACGACCCCCTTGTTGGGTTTCTGAGGTGGTATCACTAAGGAAGTAGATTGCCCAACCTTCCTTCTGAGGAGTGGCTGCTGTGTTTGAACCACCAGCCTTCTGGTTAGCAGTCAATTGCCTTAGGCACTATGCTACCAGAGCTCCCTCTAAATGGTAGGGAAGTCAAGACAACCACAAGATAGAACTGACTGTTCTAAACTTGGGAAGAAAACTATAAATCACAGGGTAATCTCAAAGAAAAATGATAAACCTTCACATCAAAATGAAAAAGAGGACCAGCACAAATATTTAGCAAATAGTAAAACAGAAGTAACGAAGGAAGTGATAACACGATTCATATAGAAAACGAGCTCAGCACAGAAAATTATATGAAAGAAAGAAATCAACACCACAAAAAAGCACATAACAAAATGACAGTAACAAATTCATACTTGTCAATAATTACATATTTGGCAAGGGACTTATTTCTAAGATTTATAGAAAACTCCAATGCCTCAACAGCAAAGGTATTAACAATCCAGTTGAAAAATGGGCAGAAGGCATGAATAGATACTTCACGAAGGAAGATATTCAGGCAGTCAGCAAATACATGAAGAGATGCTCTTGATCATTGTTCATCAGAGAGATGCAAATCAAAACAACAATGAGATAGCATCTCACCCCAGCACTGATGGCAAGGTTCAACGAGACAGGAAATAACAAATGCTGGCAGAGATTGGAGAGACTGGGACTCTCATACAGTGCTAGTGGGACTGTGAAGTGATCCAGCCACTGTGGAAAGTAGTATGATGATTTCTTAGAAAGCTGGAATTGTCTCGATACCATTTGACCCAGCAATCCCACTACTAGGTATATATCCTAGAGAGGTGAGAGCCAGGACGGGAACAGATATATGCACACCCATGTTCACCACAGCACTGTTTGCAGTTGCAAGAGGATGGAGGCAACCTAGGTGTCCATCAACAGAGGAGTGGATGACCAAGCTGTGGTGCATACACACAGTGGAGTCCTATGCAGCTCTGAGGAGTGATGTGGATGGAGTCTGCAAAGCACCACATGGCATGGATGGACTTGGAGGATATTGTGCTGAGTGAAATAAGAGTCACAGAAGGACAAATATAGTATTAGTTTGTTGTAGTGGAGGGTCAAGGAAAGGTTCATATATGGAGGGAAACTTTCTTTGTTGGTTGCCAGGAATAGGAGGGGAAGGGAAGGAATACTGAAAAA